TAAGAATCATATCATGATTAGTAGAGACCGATCTTTGATCGGGTGAGTGGGGTGCTCAATTCATGACCTTCCCCTCTCATACCTAAGTTCCCGAGCTCAGACACTTTGGTTATGACGGACAAGTGGCCTTTGGCATGAATCATGGGTTTCCTAAATTTTTCAAAAATATTTAGGTGGCGACTCTAAAATCTGGCAATGCGGTCCATTTTTGACATTTTTGATTGCAAACATTGGTCGGATTTGGACTCTTTTGTGATTTCACTGGTTCACATTGCACTTATGAAATTAGATTCAGAACCACGGGAGTCCGAACTGTAGGGTTATCGTATCCGAGGAGACTAAACACCTCCGAGAAGCAACGAAAAACCCGCTATAATGATGCAGCCATTAGAGATGTGTCTAGGTTTGGGGGGGCCGAGCTGATGAGAGCTTTTGGTTTTGCCCAAATGGAGAGTCTGACCCTAGGAATTGCTCTATTGGGGAAGGGAGTTATGGGCAGAAGGAAGGTGGGGCCACTCAGAGTGCAGCTAGAATAAGCCCAATCTAAGTTGCAAGGGGCCAAGCTGGAGGTCTTAGGTTGGCGTAAGGCGGAGCGAAGTGCCTATGCGTCAAAATGTAAAGAAAATTGAGGTGTTAGCGGTGATGTAGAGCTATATTGCGGAGCACATCAAGGCTAAGGGGACTGAGTCTATTGCCGAGCTAATAGAAGCCAGGACCCAACTAAGTCATTTGACGGCTGAATTAGCGACCACTAGCCACAAGGTCGTATCATTGGAGTTTGAAGTAGGATGAAGCAAAAAAGAACAAATGATGTTTAGTCGGCCAGCAACACCGCCATGGAAAGATTGGAAGAAGCACTTACCAACAATAAAGAGCTGCGTGAGTCATCTTTGAAGGAGAAGGAAGAGGTCGACGCACGAGTGGTAGAGTTGGAGAGGGCTCTGGCAGTGGAGAAGAAAGCTCTGGGCGAGGAGAGGAGCAAAGCGGAAGAGCTGGCCAGAATGTTAGCAGTGGAGAGGGCGGCCTATCCTGACCTCTATGGCGCGGCTATAGAGTAGTTCAAGCAGTCAACTGAATTTCAGATAACAATAGATGCTATTATGGCCACAAGCTTAGCCAAAGAGGAAAGGGGTGAGGTTGGGCCATCTAGCCTAGCTGCTACCGAATTAGTGGAAGGGCAGACTAAGGCAAAAATAATACAGAATTTCTAAGAGTCAAACTATTTCAAGCACTTACTCAACGAGTACTGGGATAGCGGCTAGACGAAGTTCAAACAAAGAGCAAATGTGACCTTCCCTAAATCAACTTCGCCCTTATGTGACCAAGAGGCGAAGATGTGGCATGCACATCGCTGGATAAGGGGATTAAAGAGGAAGACCTCATATCCAGCAGGGAAGAAGAAGATGGAGGGGGAGTGAGCTAAGCTGTACCTGATAAAGTATATGGTAGTGTTCGGTTTGTTTATTTATTTATTTTTTTGGTAAAGAAGTTTACATGGTACACTTTGTAATAAATTTGTATGTGATACAAAAACTGTCCTTGTAAATTATGGAGTTATAAAATTTGTCTCATTATGTATATTCATTGGTTCTTAAATGTGAATTATTGAAATGAAGAACGAAATGGAGGTTAAAAGTGTAAAAAGTATGTTCTGCATGACCGTCGACCGGATCAGTTGTACCGTCCGTATTTTCCTAGATGTGAGCCACCTCCCTGGGGGTGGGAACCATATGTGGGGGTGGGGGTAGATGCGAAGCAGATGCTCTGGCTTATTGGGGTTGCTGCTACTGCTGAAGTCTGGCAATTAGTTCTGCCTGTTAAGCCACAACTTCCGCCTAACGGGTGGTAATCTCTGCCTGCCGGGCAGCATCCTGCTGCATGGCCTGCATGGTCTCTTGGAGTTGACCCATCATGTCCTCCATATTAACTAAAAACTGCGGATATGACTGAACAAGTATGTATTTCCTCTCAGAAGTGGAAACAGATATCTCAGCCCAACTGCGCACAGGTGAGGTGGATAATGACCGTTGATCTGGTAGCTGCTGTACTGGTGATCTGTGCCTGACTGGCCTTTTCTTGCCTTACCACTGGCGAAGGAAACACTGGTTGCCCCTGAACTGAATCTCTGACCTGACAAAGTCTATCAGCACAAGTCCAATGAACCTTGGGGATATCGGAGCCTTCTGAAGCTATGGTTCCAGGACTACCCTAGAAAAAGAGGAAACAGACAACACCTCAGCCTGATTTCACCAAAACATATATGAGCATAGCTGAATGACTGTGCTCTCTACTGAATTCTGCCTGCAAACTGATACCCTCAGGCCGATACTCAGACTTGAAGCAGATACATACATCCTGTAGAGACACACCCCTAACAGCACATAGCAAGCAAGTAAGAGCCAAAAACACCCCTATGGTGGGGCAGGGTTTCCCTGTCCTAGTTTCGTCAGGAACTAGGGTTTCACTACGCACGCATGCGATTTCAAACAACCTACATTCGGGTAAGCAACCTGTCCTAGTTTGGAATGGCCACTATGGTTTTTGATATGCAACTGGGTCGAATAGTCGAAAAGGGTGCCTCGGTAAAAACTAAGGTTTGTGCTCCCATCGTGGCAGAGCCCGTAACCGGTCTGCCTTATGACACGCTTTTCCAAGCAAGCCTCCGGCAAACCGTTCAGGAATAGCAAATGAAAAACACGGTGTCTTAGGTGGACCAATGCAAATGTAATGCAAAGAAATACATAAGTGAAGACAAAACAACATATCATGAGTTCGAGTCAAGTTCTCTAAGTCCCCAGCAGAGTCGCCAGAAACTGTAGACCGCCCCGAACTCGCTCCGCGCGAGAGGGCGCGCTACTACAGTTTGGACACTTGTTACGGTTGTGAATCTAATCTCACAAAGTGCAATGTCAGACTGATAAATCACCAAAGGGTCCAAATCCGACAATTGGTTTTGAAAAATCAATTTTGATCAAAAAGTGCCAAACATGGACTGCTTTTCCAGATTTCAGAGTCGCCAGCTAAATATTTTGTTTTTGGGAAATTTAAGAAATCCTGACTCGTGCCTAAGGCCACGTGTCTGTCATCACCAAAGTTGCCTCGGCTCGGGAACTTGGGTACGAGAGGGGAAGGTCCTGAAATGAGCACCCCCGCTCGCCCGATCAATGATCGGCCTCTACTAAACATGATATGCTATTTTGAAAACACATGTGTTCTTGTTTGATTATTAGCTAACTTACTATGTGATACGCACAACACACAAGTATAGACTAAATCGCTCTATTTGGAACAAAACATCTCATGTTTGTTTTCGAAAATGATTTGAATTTGCCACTCGCAAGTGGGCTAAAATGCGGATTTGCTACCCTCAAGTGGGCTTAAAACATGAATTGCCACAATCAAGTGGGCTGAAAACTCACATTTTGATGAATTGTTCCAATTCAAGTAATGAAGCCTTCATCCATGGAAAAACTCACACTCATGCAAGGATACTAAAGCATAAACACTTACAGTGTACTCCAAGCCAAAACAGGAAACTTAGTTAGAAACAATGCATGATCCTAACTATGTTAGATGCCTAATGCAACACATGCAAAAATACAACTAAGTAGGCTCGGCTATCTAAGATGGCATATGAATGCAACACTTTGATAACATGTATTCGAATAGGTATTGAAATACAATGCAGTTTGTATGATGCGCTGAGCCCGGTGCATGCAATATGAATGAATGATGCACGCATGCAAAACACAAGTATGCTAATTCAAACATGCCCTAAAACTAACCATCGAAAGCTGGTAAATAAAAGGGAGAAAGACGTGGGGTTGGAAGACATTCACACACACACGCACACTTATTACAACGTTTGCCCTCTTGACGGAGGGTCCGAATAAATACGCCAAGCCTATTTGAGCTAAGCTACACTAACTAATATAAATTATCTAATTAGACTAATTATTACACAACCAAATCGAATAATAAGCAATCTATTTACTAATTATTACAACACTTTAATTAATTAACAAATTAACTAAACATGACAATTAACTAAACATGTAAACTAGGCTGCCACAACACTGCCTTGAACAATGAAGGATGCATGCTCTCGGTTGCCACCTCGAAACGCCTTCCAGATTGCTCTTGAAAGGCTCTGTTTACAGGGTGTTTTTATGAAGTTTCTGCCCCACCTTACCAAACCCACCCTAGAATTCCACCAGTGGCCTGCCGGCCATGAAGGCTTGCTGCCGGCCACCTGTCAGCGAAGGGTGTGCACTGCGACCAAGAGTGAAGCAGTGTCGACCATCTACAAAGCACTGTCGGCCACTGGTGTGCTGCAACACCATTTTGCAATAGAGCACAAACTAGAGGAAAATGGATGGACTCCCAAGGGTATGTACGTACTATGCCACTCCATATAACTTCAAAATATCAATGGAGAAGCAGATTGGATCCAAGACCATCAATCAAGCATCGCAATGCATGAAACAAAAGATCCAACGTGCACAAATTAGATGAATGCACAACAAACAAAACAAGCAAAACACTAAGACCACAGCCTTATCATGAGTGATCAAAGGCAACGGAGACAAAGAGGATTGGTTCACTTTCATCACTTTGAGTATGAAGTGGGCCAATCCACCTGTGTTCAACACAACGTCCGGTTGAACACAATGCAATGCAAACATCATGCTATGCGAACAACATGCTATCTTTCAAAGCTAAAGTGGCATGCACAAGACTCTATCATGTAAGCAACGCATGCAAGACATGTTAAAGGCCAAAATATTGAAACTTGTGAAGGACACAACACTAGAGGCATGCCATAAAAGGCTCAAACAACTAAACCATCTATGAACAGAGCTTAATCATGCCAAAGCAATGGCATAAACATGCTGGAAACGAAGCTCAAAAGACTAGACAAACATGCACACATGTTAGCCATTAAGCAAGGTATAATCACAACCCTTAAAAGCTTCGAAGAAGTGAAGTATATGAGAGTATGACTACACTATATGCATTGAAATTACATGCTAAATGGTGCCATACCATGCAAACATCACATGCATAACATGTTGAAGGCCTCAAACCCAAAGCTAGTCAAGGCCCTTTACACTACAACCATACTAAGTAATGCTCAAATGACCTTGACCATTCAAAATAGACCTAAGGCAGGTCAAAACAATAGCAAAAACATAATAGACGCAGCATAGATGGCAAGAAAAATATGCTAATTTGATTGCTCACAAACAAGGCATAAGGGCACAACTCTTAAACACAATGAGAGAGTGATAAACATGAGAGTATGAGAGAAGTTTATGCTCTAAAATTACATATCAAATGATTCCATATCATGCAAATAGCTCAAATAAAGCATCTAGAGGCCCTAAAACTCAAAACTAGTTAAGGCACTTGAACTATAGCTATACAAAGCAAACTTTAAAAGGCCAAGACCACTCAAAACAGTCCAAACCATGCTAAATCAGAGCCAAAAACATACTGGACAAAGCTAAAACATGCTAGAATGATGAACTAAAGCATGAAGCATGTTAGGCCAACAAGCATGATTGCACTACAAGTACCAAAAGCATGCAAGAGGTGGCCAAATCAGACAAAACAGAGTTATGCAGGTCCAAAAAGTCACAAAAACATGCTTGAACTCAGCTTAAAAGAAGTAGAAAAGCATGCTCAAGTATAAGGCCAACAAGGCAAGGAAGCAGACAAGAGAGAGGGACCACCCCCTCCTATTTGCCTTCAAAACCACCTTTCCACCACTGAATTCCTCTGGAATTCAGTGGTTAAATGGCCAAAAGAGATGGTTTGAAATGCTTTAAAGGAAGGCAAGAAGTTTAGCAAATAAGCCACCAAAGAGGGTGAAACACCCCAACTCCAAAACACTTTAAACTACCATTCTAAGCCTTAAAAACAAAGGTTTTGTAGTTGACAACTAGGCCAAAATCAGCATGAAAAGGTGGCCAAGATTGTGTACAAAAATAAGCTTAAAAGAGGGAGAAGCTCACCGTTGAAGCACAGCAGCAAACAGCCAACAAACAGCCA